AAAAAAAAAAAAAAAAGGGAAAAAAATTAATAAATAAATAAATAAATAAAATCTCCAGAGATTTGCCTTGTCTTTTTTCCCTCATGACCCAAAGGAGTCATACAGCTGAAAAGGAGTCCCTAGACTAACCAGTCACATGTTCCCTACATGAAATGGTTCTGGGGGGGCAGACCCCGCTGGGCACTGTTACCTCAGCTGTGCATACAACAGGATGGCAAAAGGCCTGACTTCCTAGTTAACTATGTTCAGGGTCAGAGACACATGACCGAGGACATTTATAATCTGATTTGGCTTTCTGGTATTTACTCCTTAGTATCACAGGGCCTCGAGAAGCAGACATCTTCTACAGCTCTTGGGGCTAGCCCTAGCTCACCCCTTTACCTCCCCTTCCTCTAATTCACAATAAGGCAAGAATCCTGCTACTAAAAGCAAATTAATGCTTATACAACTTGTATTAAAATAAAATCATTTTCCACACCCCCCCCATGGAGATGTTGCCCAACAGCCTGCTGAATTGTAATTCTGAAAACATCTGTTGGGTATGTTCATTTAGGAGTGTCTGGTTCAGTTGACCTTACCCATGAGATGGTACCACGGGGCTCTTTACCATACAGTAGTTCCTATCACACAGCAAGTGTGCTGCACCAGACAAGTGTTCTTCTCCGGGATGATACAGAGATAAACAGGATAAAGGCCTGTTCTGAAATGAGATCCCACCTTCACTATGACAGAGCAGAGCTGGAGGCTGGGGAGGTATGTCACCCACCCCACCCAGAGGAAAAGTAAAGCATCTGCTGAAGAACAAAGAATTTACTCTAAACTTGAGGTTGAATATGATCTGCCAAGTTATCGAGTTTTCCTAAAGTACCACAGTATTTTATGAATTAAAGAAAGAAAAATTCAACTTTGGGGGGAAAGCATTATTATCCAAAATGATTTAGTAAAGCTTAAATCCTACACCTCTTCAACCTTTCTGGGGAAAGAAGCACACCAGAATATACTAAAGTTGGCAGCTTATGTCAATGATACCCAAAAGCCAGACAGGGCAGCCTAATGGGCATTTCCAACTAACCTGGATAAATTTTAAATACAAATTAAAAACTCGTTAAATCCATGTATACAGTTTCAGATTAAACAATAGATAAATGTGTGTATGGGGTGGGGAGACATTTCTGTATCCTGTGCTTTAGTAAAGTAGAATTACTGCAAACGACTGAATGTAAGAAGATACTGTATCTCGGGGCTGGAGAAATGATTTGGTAGTTAAGAGCACTTGTTGCTCCTGCAGGAGACTGGAGTCCAGTTCCCAGTACTCATGTGGTGGATCCACACCCATCTGTAACTCCAATTCTACCGGATGAAACGCCCCACTTCTGACCTGGCATGCCTCTGGTGCACGTACATACATGCAGACAGAACACACATAATTTTTTTAGAAAATCTTTTTTAAAAATAAGTAATATTATATCAAAACAGCAGCGTTACGACAGCTAAAAACAATGTTCTATCCCTGGCAAACGGCTTTAGGATATGTGATTAGTCCTCGGCAGGCTCCTCGTTTCTGGATAGGCCCTGATGCTTTCCTCAAGTCTCTGTTCTCTGTTTGTCTCATGGGCTAACTGAGAATTGTATTTGAACACTTTTGATAACGGACTATTTTCAATGCTGCAGTTCCCCAATGGCCATTCATTTTACACAAACCTTTGAACGCGAAAGAGAAAACACCACACTCATTCTTCAGTACCAGGTAGGTCCCTTCTCTGGAGTAATGGAAGTTCGGTATGAGGTGTGAAGATCTCAGATGGCAAGAACTCCCTGCTCCTACCTCAAACACCCAGAGCTAAAAACACAAATGTGTTCTGGGTAAGACTGCAAAAACTGCTACCTCCAAAACAAACGGGCAATCTCTTCCTTAGCAGTCGCGTTTCCTAACAAAGCAACCGCTTCTCCCAAAGGCTGGCACAATGTGAAAAATACAATCTACTCCTACTCGGCTCGAAATCAAACCCGGCCTTGTAGTCAGTCAGTCCTCCATGCACTCACGAACACCGACTACCGCTATCCGTGCTAGCTGCTGGCACCATCCTTTCCATCCTGAAAAAGTGAGGCTCCTTTCCATCTAAGATTTCCTTCAAATGGCTTTGCATGTTCACTCAGACCTCTTATTAATTACGGAGCCTTAATCCTTGGGAGTTTTCTCCTTCCTCTCTCCAAACCTCCCATTCCCTTCCTCGGGTCCATCTTCCCCGCCATCCCTCCCCATAAAGCCTTCTCCTACCCAGGGGACCACCGGCCCTTTTCCCGCCAGGACTGTGCGTTCCTCCGGGCCTGCTGCGGGTCCACCAGCGTGCTGACACTAGTCCCAGCTTCTCCTTGGCCCACGGTGACAACCAGGCCACCCCCGAGGCTTACAGCGCCCAGGGGCAGGACAGGATGGATCGTAGGTGCGGTGACCTGGCCCGCCACGCGCACCGGCGTCCCTCCAAGTGGCCCGGGTCCCTCGCCCGGAGCCTCGAGAGCCGGCCGGGAGCAGCCGCGGAGGCCCGGGGCCCAGGGCGTGGCAGCTCGCGGGGAG